TATATAATAAAATATTAATTATATTTATATATATTTCTATTATATATTCTCTATATATAACTATTTTAAACTAAAATTAACTAAAATACTGTCTTAACTATAGAAAATAATAATTTTAATAGAATTTTTAATTAAAAATATATTCTTTTTCTATATATAATTAATAAACAGAATCTTTTAATACTATTAATAGAGTATTTTTATAGTCAGTTAAAATAGTTAGATTAATTCTAGATTAACTATAGTTAATCTAGTTTACTATCTACTATACTAGATAAAAATTGATAGTCTTGATATTAAGTATAGTTAATTTAGATTAACTGTCTAATTTTTAACTTAACTATAGTTAGATATAAAAATTCTATTAACTTAGCTATAATCTAGTGGTTAGATATAACTGATCCTATTAACCTAACCTAACCTGGCCAAACACCAGTCTAATTATAATTAATATTAACTCTATATATAAAATAAATTAAAAGAAATATAATAAAAACTATAAAATTATTAATAATTAATTATAGATTAATTTATAGTTATTAATTTAATTATTATAATTTAATTTACTCTAGCCTACAGTTTATTATAGTTAAGAGATTAATTAATTTTAATCTAATCTAATTAATATCGGTTAAAAAATTTTATATCTTAACCTAATCGAGGCCGATTAGGTTAGGTTATGGCTAGGTTACAGCAGTTAGGTTCTGCCACTCTAACTGTGGTTAGATATAGAAATTCTATTAACCTAGCTATAACCTAGCGGTTAGGTATAACTGACCCTATTAACCTAACCTAATCTGGCCAAACGCCAGTCTAGTACCTATCTGTCACGGTGAGATAGGTACACAAACTATGATGACTGTGCACTGAGAATCGGTTCCATCAAAATCTCGAGAAGCTAGTATGGTGGTGAGCAGTGAGCTAAAAAAGAAGTTGAAGAAAGAAGCACTTACCCACTGTTCGAGTTTTTCCTGGTTTTCGTGGAGGACTTTAAACTCATCGTCCAATCGGTCTAGGTCGTGGTAAATTAATGATATTATGATTGAAGAGACGTGAAAGAGAAACAGAAAGCCATACCGCTGGTAATATAAAGGATATCCTTCAGGTCCAAATCATGTAATTTGTTGAGGAATTTCTCTGCCTCCGGGTCGTCTCCTATCTGGCTGATTTGGAATCGGACCACTGAGATATTAGTAAGATAGAACGTAAATGAAGAAAGGAGCAAGAAAGTTACCATCACGTTTGTAACCCTTACGCTCCAGTTTCTTACCACACTCCGTAATAACCTGCTGGAGGGTCTCGATAGTTTCCTTTGAGTTTGGGCCTCCATTTGGTTGTCCATCTGTGATGATCGACACCAGTACTGGACGCTGAAGTGTCCCCGCATCTAGATGTTTATAGACGTAATCCTGCAAGACCTTCGTTTGGAGATTTGTTCCGATTGCCGTCCATCCATCGAAGGGTATTTTCTCTATGATCGTATTGATTTCCTCCATTGTCGGCTTTGACATCTGGCCCGTCGTTTCCTCGTTAATAAATCGTAGTTCAATTGCTTCATCGTCCGGGACAACACGGGTGGTAATGCTAGTGATACGCTGGGCAAGGTCGTTGAGACGGTCTTTTCGTTGGTTATCCTTCATTGACCCACTGTCGTCTGTTGTTGTTAGACTTATAGAATGTTTTAGTACAGCATAGTTTCACGTACCGCAATATAGGATGGGTTGGTAAAGTGCCAAATGGGTCAGATTCTTGGGGTTGAGAGTGTTGGATGGATCTCGGTTGAGGTTCACAGCTCGGTCCACCACCTTCTCAAGGAATGGGTTGTCTTTGGGAAAAAATTTGTTCAGACTTCTTTTTTCGATGATTATGTTCATTTCATCCTTGAGTTGTCGCTTTTCTTCGCTGAACAATACTTCTTCTTTTATATACTAGGTGACGGTGGTATTAGTGCCAGCTAGCTCAGAAGCGGAAAGCAACATACCTTTTTCATTCCCTCATCGACCTTACCAGTCCACCCGAACCTTCTCTTGATGGCGTCCTTTAACACATATCCCGCCCCAACGACAACGGCCGTGCCAGCAGCAGCACTAGCGGCAACCTTAAGGTTCTTGTTGGCCCAGTACACAGCCGAAAGAACAAAGCCTGTGACCTTAGCTACCTCCAAAACACGCTTGCCGATCCGTTTCGAGCGAGGGAGCATGGCATTCAACGCGCCCAGTCTGTTTTGCTTCTTCGCTAATTTCCGCGGCGACGAGCCACCAACGTCTGCATCCTGGTCTGCACCATGGTCAACAAGACTGCTAAGGACATCGGTTGATTTTCGAGTCTCGACAGCTTTCATCAACGGTGTCGATCCTTCATCGTCTTTGACCTGGGATCGGAGATTCGCGTCCGCATTTTTGCTCAGGAGGAGTTGGATTAGTCGCTCTTCGATGTTTGTTTGGCTCCTTCGGCGACCACAGGCTACCCAGAGTGGTGGACGACCTTTTCTGAGACCGTTCGGGTCGTAGCCGTGCTTTAGGAGAAGTTGCGCGGCCTTGAGGTTTCTCTTGAATACGGCGACGCCGAGAGGAGTCAATTGATCGTCCGTGTTGAAATAGTTCAGTTTCCCAGAGTCGAGGTCCTTGAGGTCCTCTTCCTTCAGACAACCACTTCTGGCGAGTTCGTAGATTTCCATGCTTGTTGCTGCGACAGCTTTTTGATAGGGGAGGTTGGTTGTTAGTCAATGCTATATTTAAGTATTGACAGCTTCTGTGATACAGAATCCCCTGATGCGCCGCTGACGGGCGGAAATTTCAGCCAGCCACATGGTTCACACATGTTCAGCCGCACAAACAGACGGAGTTTATCGGGATTTCTCCGTAGATGTGTCTACATATGCATAGCTTGCAGGTGTCAAGTGGAATTGCACTCCCGCCGATCGTCAGACAACCTAATTACTAACTAATGTCAACTACTGCAGCGCCATCACACCGGACCAAGATATCACATGCAGTGGAAGATATTCCCAATCGACAGGTCATTTTCTCACTCCACGCCACGTCATACAGCCTTATCCCTTACTGCGATGTGCAAAACATTAAGTGATAAGTGCATTTCCTGTCCTTAGCTCCGGATATCTTCTATCATACTCAACCCTCACCATAGCCACAATGAACTCTCTCATCTCTCGCGACGAAATCGGCAACTCGGATGCTGCACAAGACCTGTACGGCCTGGGTGTCCGCCTTGGGTTCTACATTCAAGCCTTATCCATGATCGTGTACATCTATGGGGACAAGAAGAACTACGGAAAAGGCCTAAAGATAGCATCAGGCACCATGACAATCTCCGTCCTCACATCATGGTTCTCATTTGTCATCGAGCAACAATTTAGTCCGAGCGAGGCTATTGTTGTGCTCATGATTCTGATAGGTCTTATTGTCCCAGCAAAATACACTCTTCTTAACCCAAACACGATTATGGGTGAAATGATCGGTGTCATCGCTCTCCTCTTCAGTGAACTGGCCCTATGCACTGGCCTATTATGGACCTTTTCGACCCTAGTTCATACCCTCCCAAGATTAGGTACACCTAATTTGGTGTTTTTCTTCTACCCCGTCTCGCTGACGGGTTGGTTCCGGTATTTGGCGCTGGTATATTTTGTCCTTGACGCTGCATCGTCCCTGTATGTTGCTTATAGAATGATTCGCATTCTGCACATTGCCTGGGAATGCTACATGGACGGGCGTACTGCGGCAAATGCACAAGAAATCGAAATGATTGTCGAGACAATCAAATGGAATAAAAAGGGTAAGGATGGTCTGGACGGAGGAGATAGTCAGGATAGTTGGAATAAACATCGGCCTCCGCTCCACAATCAAATCATGATGTGGCTAAATCTGATTTTCATGATTGTCGCCGTGGAAACTACTCTCGTTTGGAATCATCTGACGCCATTGAATGATCTGCGGTCACCGGGGCAGTTGATCCCGTTTGTGACAGGCATCATTTTGCTCATCGACAGTGTTTCTGTTGTGGGCAGAGAGTATGTTTCCTGGTATAAAAAGTATTTTGTTGCTATTCGAGAGCAAGGGATCTTGGTTGGTTGGCTTGGAACAGTCTTGGGGATGCCAGATGCTTTTGCTCGACTGTCCAGGAAGGCACGGTTGCTTAACGCATCTATGTCTACATCTACGTCAGAAGGCGGGGGAGACTCAATTGTATGATGCTGCTCGAATTAAACTGTCTAGATACGACTATTCATGTAACTCCTCCCAGTCGAACGTGTAATACTAGATGGAATCAGTCAATGCAGCTTAGAGGGAATCTGAATGAATACACACCTTGTAGTCTTTACCTTTCTTGTATTTCCTAAACTCAATCCTCGAGCCGTCAAAATCCCCCATCCGTCGATCCAGCTCACTAATGTCGTCTCCATTCATAACCAAACATTGTAGATCATCTGCATTGTCCATCTCAAACACAACCATGAAAATTCTGCGCGCCTTACGTGGTTCTTTCAATCGCGGAAAACAGAACCTCTGCGGAGTATCAGTAAGCGTTACTCCTCCCCCAATCACATCCCACAAGACCCATTTCTCTGTCCTTCTTTCGCCAGGCCAGTCAAGCGGCTGGACATGCTGAAAGACATACAGTGTGCTCGCACTAACCAGTGGCGTGGGTGCATATGCGGGAAAAACATTGAAGGTTGTGTTTAGCCCCTCTGTTCCCCAGTGGGTACAAGCATATTTTTCATGAGGCAGAAAATGGAGACAGACCGGGTCCGCGGGTTCCACTGCAGGCTTTTTCGCGAGCGAAGCAACGGCCCTGAGAGCTTTGTTTCGATGAAGCGCGCCGGTGGAATCGAAGATCCATTCGAGCATTCTAGCGTTGACTCGTGCTCCCTTGCCAGTTCCGGTCCCAGTTCCAGTTCCTGGTTCGCCATTGTTGCTATTTATTGTCAATACAAATACCTTCCATGATACAGAGATGAGCATTCCTTACTGAATCGCCACGACAGTCTCATGCCCATTATACGCCATGTACACCGGTGATCCACTCCAGCCCTTCTCGGTGGGAATCTTATAGTCCAACTGGTTGGTGGACGCCCGTGAGCATTTCCCTGTATTTGTGTAAACACTGGGCTGGTTCGCGGCCCGCCCCGTCTCATGTGGGGCATAGCCGCTAACGTGGAGTTCCTCACCACGGAGATTTTCGTACCCCAGACTCAACGCAAAGCCAAACCCATTATCCGAATCGTCAGAGTGTCTAGGGAACTTGATTAGACCGTAGTCACTTTGTGGGTCGGTTTGGCCTGTATAGCGCGGGAAGACGAGCGGTTGGATGGGAGGCTGTATAGGTCTGGTTTCTCTGTCCCCATATCCTTGTATGGAAAGGTTCTTTGAGAAATTTCCTTTTTTGTCGACCAAATTATGTGCCGCGGTTAGGATGATATGGTACGAAGCACCGGGGAGATTGAGGTAGAATCCGGTGCCGACCTTTTCCTCATCTGTTCAGGTCAGTCTGTCATCCAGCTGGAACCAATTAGAGGAGGATCTACCCGTGCCCGCTTGCGAGAAGCGCAACTTGACCACCCAATTCTCACGACTTTGAGCCTTGGATCCTTTCAGGCCACCAGTCTCTTGTTTAGCGGGTAATTGGCTCCAGGAGCGATCCCACATTAAGGGATTGAGAGCGCCGTCATCGGCCATGTTTACAGCCACGTAGAAAATAGTATGGATGGGCGACTACTCTATACAGCATTTTATAACACCTCAGTGGGAGGCATCAAGCGACTCCTACTGTCAGAGGAGTCACATTGATATATCCGCTTATTTCGTCCTGGTTCTGTGCGGCTGAGTGTGATGGTGGCTGCATTGCATTGCATTGCATGACAAGTCGTACAATTCAGCTCCTCTGCCTGCGCCTCATTTTATTGCCTTACCCCTCATCAAAAAGATTCGTCCGAGCATACTCCGTATGGAAGATTCGTTTGTCTTAATATTGTACGAAATCTCGTGAAAATCACCTACATGACACAACCCTCTATCTTTCCAATCTAAGTCATCAGCGTAATGGACATTTCACTATCTGACGTTGCCTATTTGCTCACCTTACCCGCTGGAGCCCTATCACTCGATGGCAAAATCATTTACTTCATTGTCAACGAGGATGGGGAGCTGACTGAGAAGCACTGGAACGGCAAAGAATACGAGGACAATGTGTTTATCTCGTCTGATCTCAGAGCCTCCCCGTCCGCGAAGTACCTGCTCAACCAGAATACTGTATGCTTATTCCTCCTTATATATACTGTATGCTAATAGGTAATTTCGTAATAAGCGTCGTGTATTTTTCCCCAGCAGAGACAACGCCCTCAAGTATGCTGAATACGACGAGGACGAGGAGGAATGGACCGAGGATCTCGTCGATCGCGATGGTCCTATCCAGCTACACCCAGAGAGCAAGATCAGCGGCTGTTTCGATGACTTAAATGGCCAGATCATCTTCTTTCAAGACCCATCGGGTGCGTTGCAATGTATCCGTATGGCCGAGAATAACGAATGCACGCCTCTTCCTCCCCTCCCAAACATCAACCAATCCGGCAATATTATCCACACGGCTTACACAACAGATGATGGTGTCATTCATGTCGTCTACATCAATGACTCTGGTCACATCCATGTTGTCAAATTGGCCACGCCAGAGAGCCAATGGCAGGGTAAGTCCTTCAATAACCTCTACAATCGGGCTCAGAGGCTTACAACACTCTACTATCCAGACATAGTCCTCGAGACCGCCAGTTTCGGAAGCTCGCAAATCACCAACTTTGCAATTACCTCGACCAATGAGGCAGAAAGAGGCTTTTTGGCGGTCGTGTCAGGAACAACTATCGTTTATATCGATCCGCAGGGCGAGCTGATGGAGGTTGGCGCAATTGATAATAAACGCTTTGATCCGTCGTCGAGTGAGGAGTGTGCGAATGAGCTTTATCGGATAGGGGAGAAAATTGTTGGAGCCTTGGGAGGTGGAAAGAAATAATCTGGTTGTTCATGCCGGGAGATATATTTTGAAGGAAACTGGATGGTAGACTGGGTTGCGTTTGCCTGAAGATGTCTATATTGAATTCCTCATATTAATAGTACACTCCTTTAAAGCATGGGGCTGTAGATATAAATTTGCAAAACGGTACCACAGTCTTATGGTAATAGGGTTGAATAAGGGATCCGACATCGACCTGTCAATGATGTCTAATACCCAGTCTCTTGAAACCGACCACTCCGAGTCATCAGGGGCTTTGCTATATATTTTAAGCATTCACCATCTCAATTTCTGATGAAGCCTGCGACACCTTAGACGAAACGACTGCACGACGCGGCTTCGCCGAGAGTTCCCCCCATCGCCGGCCCATGGCAACTGCTGGGTGAGCGGCGGTCATACAAATGCACGCAATGGCAATCATAGTACTCTCAAGAATCATCAGGGCAATTTCATCATTAGCCAGATCACTGTTAAATCCACCTTTCAGCTCCGCAACACGGAAGATCGAGCGAGTGAAGATCGTTAAAACGGCAATGGCAAGACCTTTGATTGGGTTAGCATAGGCGGATAAATGCGCATTATTTAGTGACACTTGCCCAAAAGGAACATCTTCCATTTCAAACCACTGCGAACAGATGCTGTAGACGCATTCTTCATGTCTTCTGAGCTGCGGCGCACTCGCAGGGCGAATTCCGAAGCGAGCACGATGAACAGCATCAACGAGGCGACCTGAAAAGCCAATCCTGCAATCATGATATTGACACCGGTATCGCTGAGGCTTTTTTGGTCTGAGTCAGCGATGGAGGTAATGGCGCCGCCGGCTGCTTGTAGGACTAGAGCGATGATATCGCAAGTGACGAAGATTATGGTGTATGTACGCGGGCGAATCCTGGAGATACCCTCCCCGTAGACGATGACAACTCTTCCCAGGCAGATGTAAATGGCGGCGGTGAAAAAGGCCGGGGCAATCGTGAGACAAATGAGGTATCTAAAAGTCAAGTTTCTGATTAGCTTGCTTTATTCGGAGGTATGTCTCAAAGGTCACGTACAGAAGGAATGCATTAAAGTCGAATGGGTTGCTGTGCATCATGACTCGCCCGATGTATCCTAGTATTTCAAGAATGAGCCCCGCGGTCATGGCCCCCATGTATGTCCACGTTCGGAACCATGTTCCTAGGGCGATTTGTGCGGCGAGGAGAAGGCCGAAGATGACGAGGAAGAGGACATTTGCCGGGATGTTAGGCTGGTAATTGATATAGGCCAAGTCAATTGGGCAAGTTGCCAAGGTGCAGTCGTCCATGTTCATTTCCGACATTTTCAGTGATGATATTTCTACTCTTTTTCTCTCTTTTTTCTTCTTGTTCTTTTTTGAGATAGTGAGGAGGAGAAGAGGTAGAATGCGAGTCTAGATGGGTTGAGATTGATATTCCCCTCCTCATAGCATCGAATACACACACTCTTTATACAATCTGACAAAATAACGATGCCTGAAAATCAGCCACGAGGCTATGCTATCTCCGATCCTACGTAGGACGATCATTGGCGCAGGTATACTTACTAGGGCTGACAATGGGGCCGTGCCAAGACACGGAGTCCAGGCCAACTCCGAGTCCGCGGACTCGGAGGGGAATTGCCTGGGGGCCGGTCCGCGGACTCTTAAGGCCTCCTGTTCCTGTCCGGTCTCCATCTTAGCTCCAATTCTTTAAATGCTGCCTACTATGTCCGCGCCGACCAGTCTAGGCCGAGTTAGGACCTGCGAGAACTGTGTGCGTGCTAAAATTAGGTGCTCGCGCACCTCTACCCAAAGCTGCGATCGGTATGCAACATCCCGCTTCTACTTCTACTTCTCTTCTCTTCTACTTCGCAACGTAAACCTAACACGCTTTGAAGGTGTCTCCGTCTCAACAAAGATTGTTATTTCCGCGCAACAAAAGCTCGTACTTCTAAGAAGAGGCAGACGTATATCTGCCCACGCCTCGTATCGATACGATCTGTCAAGCTGACCGCATCTAATCTAGGCGAATAGGTGCACTCGAGGAAAAGGTGGATCAAATATTAGGCCAGATCAATCAGCCTCGCTCAAGCCCGCAACAGGCACCACTGCCACTGCCACTGTCCCCGAAAAGTGAAAGTTGTGCTCCGACTCCTCGAAATCCGTGCGATGTGATCGGGAACGGGCTGATCACCCACGAAGAGGCAAATCGTTTGATAGAGAGCTTTCGTGATGCCATAACGTATTTCCCATTTGTACAGCTACCGAGAAACGCCACTGTCGAGGATCTCAGATCGGAGAAACCCTTCCTCTTACTCTCTATTCTTTTGGTCTCCTCGTTTCGGAATGTCCCGCTGCACCTGGCCCTCGAGGAGGTTTCGACGTCCTACCTTGGGGGACAAGTCTTGCAAGGCAATCGCCAACAACCCTTCGATATACTACAGGGATTGCTGGTTACTATAGCTGGGTATGTTCTAGACAATGTCTCAATTAGATTCACGAAAGCTAACACGGAAGATAGAACGAAGAAAAAACTCCATATAGTGCGGTTTTCTGGATATCTGCACCTTGCACAAAGTATAATCAACGATTGCAGACTGGATTACCCAGCCAAGCTGCGAGTGGGAAGACAAAGAATTGACGTCATGTTGGACACGGATCCTCCGACAGAATCGATTTCCCTGCGAAACGAGGAAATGCGAGCGTTGGTTGGATATTTTCTCCTTGACGCGTGGTAAGTTCGATTTACCACCTGTATAGCCCGGTCTAAACCTGAAAAGACTAGATCTTACTTACTTTCTTTTCACATGACTAGTCACTCCATAGTACTACAGCGGACAGGAACAATGCCTTGGTCACCCTTCATAGAATCATGCGCTGCGAAGTTGTCGCAGGAATGCGAATTCTCAACCGATCGATACCTGTTAGGCCAGGTTCAAGTACAACACATGCTTGTACGAATCGATTCCCTAGTTGCACGAGGATTCGGTAACAATCAGGCTCCTGCGGATATAGAAGTTATGATTAGTTCTCTTCAAAGCGATTTTGAAGATTGCAAAGCCCGGCTGCCTGTCCCTATTGACCATGATGGTCAGTTGACCAAGCCTTATCTGTACTGCAGATCTAAATTCTAACACTTGATTAGTATTTCAAGGCATTTCGTCCCACGCCTTCGAGATCCATCTCTATCAAACTACCTTTTTCGATGTATACCCATCTTCCGCCGCGTCATTCGACCAATCCATGGCCCTCCTGCGAATTGATGCCCTTTGTCACGGACTAGCGGCTGCAAAACAATTTATGAGCTTTTACTTCAGTCTACCACCTGGTATTGAAAAGAGATTTAGTTACACCCAATGGATAATGACCGGGTTTAGCGTTGCAGCTTCATGCAAACTTGTTCTCGCATCGTTGGAGCCATCCGTTCGAGATCACGATCAAGTCCGAGGGCTGCGAGAGACATTGGATATGCGGCATGAAATCCAGAAATGTGTCAAGCGCTTGAATACGCTTGATCAGGAGTGTAAAGGTGGGAAGTGGGATCAATATGAGATGTTCTTCTACCAAGATTGGCTGCGGTTCCTTTCTGAATGGTTTGAAGAGAAATATCGTCTTGCGCAGTCTGATAGTGCTGGAGAGAATAATAGTGCACCGGGAGTCTTCACCACTGGAATCTCAGAAAATAATATGTATGAAGAGCCTCAGCCTGATCCTGGTTTTCCCTGGGTGAATCTTCAGGACATTACGATTGAGGAGATGTTAAATGTGTGGTTAGAGCCAACGAATATACCACACTACTTTTGAAATGTACAAATTAGCCTTGATAGTTTCAGTGACGAATATATGTCCCTCTCTGCTTTCTTTTATTTGAATTACCATTTTATCCTAGTAGTTCTGACCAAGTACTCAAATCGAACACGGCCTGTTAGGCAGTGGATCTAACCAACCCCGCAGACTAAAGACCAAATAGAAGCTTTGATCACATCAGTACATATACTTACTTTGATAGGGTGCTTATTATCCAACACCAATACAGAGAACTGAGAAGAATTTATGAACGGAAAAGAGCCTTAGTGGGGGACAACAGATACGTTTTATGTACTTTTGAAATGGAGCATAAATAGTATGAAGAGCTTAAGCAAGCCAGCAACGGCTAGAATTCGTAGTTTGTGTCTACATAGCGGTTGCTCTCAGCTCCGTATCTGGCAAACAGGACCAGATGGAATGGGCACGCCCCACTGTTCCGTTTCAGTCCAAGCATGTCTGCCCATACTCACGGTCTGCTCACACTCCACGGTCTGCTCAAACGCCCTCCAGTCGCAGGAGATTCCCGGCCATGGACACCTGCCAGTTGAGCTGGAGCCACTATGGACGTCAATCATCGGACTGCCATCACTGACTTTACAGCAAGCTCCAACCCCCAGTCCCCGCGAGCCCCCCATCATCCCTGGCAGCTGAGCGAGAAAACTGTTGAGCGTATTTTCTGTACATGCGAAATAAAGGCACGTATTCACGTATCCAGCGATAATCGTATTTGACTTCAACTGTAATGTTGGGACAAAATCTAATAGTATTCGAACAAGCGGTTTGTCCCCATAGCATACTATCCACTGATCTCTGACTTAGATATCCTGTAATGCGACGTAGTTTGCCTAGCCATTGCAACAATGTGACGCAGCGGATCATCTAATCATCACTGCTCCTCTGGTCCCGACTAAGCCGAATATCACATAATAAAGTAAGTCCAATACGTCAGATATAGTATAAAACTAATTTTTGATAGATCGTTGAAAGGACTGTTGACCAAGGAATCCCCCCCCAACACATTTATACCTAAGGACTGCCTAGTAATTCCCCACTTACGTGTATAACAAACAGGCCTCAAGAGATCTCTACTTGGCTTGAGAGTGCAAAACAGTAGAATAGCTTGCGTCATTTCAAGTCGGGACTCTTCCCGACCGAAGTACATTTAGTGCAACTTACCCTTATTGAATCATCCTATTTCTTTAAAAAGTTAAAACAACTATAGTAAAACTTACTTTTTCGATATAGCTAGCTACCGGCATCTAAGGTGCTAATATGACAGATTATTGCGGCTTCGGAATAGCCCGGATAGTCGCCCAAACTCTGCAGTGATTGGTAAAAGGTGGGGATTATGAAAGCTTAGACTACTTTAAGTATTGAACATGCATAAAGATTTCCTATAGTAAATCCAACCTAACATTTGATCATTGACCAGTGGGTCTTACACTTGTGCGAGTCATCTTGACGCCTTAGATTCTCCAATGCTGTATTGTTCTGGAGGAAAACTGACGCAAATGTTTTCTACCGTTCCTGGGTAAACGTAAATAGAAATATTATCAATGTGACTTACTTGAATGATAGATAATGGCGTTAATACTAACATGCTTGTGGCCCCACAAGTCACATTCTTTTTAAAATAAAACAAAAGCACGACCACTGACATTATTGACTGTTGTTACATTTGAACCTGCTAGCCTGGTATTTATACTAAGTTCTGCATATAACTAAACCTTAGATACAGGTCATGATGTAATATATACACATATTGTAGAAGTATCCCTAGAAGTTGTAGCGATGCAATATGTTGAATTTAATGGAGATCTGGAAGGCAGCAGACCAGCTGTTAGGTATAAAATTGAGACAACATCCATGTCAAGGTCATTAATTGATAGTTTTCAATTACATCGGTCTTACAAGCAATCACTAGCAGTCATGAAAGCCAACTATATTTTCGCCTTCGTAACCTTTGCTGGTCTGAGTTTTGCAGGGTCTTACCATCCTTATCATGAGACTAATTCACTCGGTATGATAAGGCATTCGCTCATATATTTATTATTCTTATACTTAACTAATGATTTTATTGAGTGATGGGCGAGGAATCCTACTACTTTTGGACTGGGTCAGCACCAGTCTGCCAGCCACGTAGCTGTGAGCAGGAGTTCTCTAGTGTCCCCTTTGAGCTGCGGAGGAGTAAAAAGGGTGATGGAAACGAGTGTATAGTCGGGAAAAAGAAGTGCTGCTGTACTGACAAGAGTAAGTCTTTTGGCCCTATGACCCAGTACTTGTCCCCACTGTGCTGGATCTTTATACAGCGGTCCTAAGTTAGTCTCTGTAGGGAAAGAAGCACAGGAATGGTGCAAAAACACTGATCAGGCCTAAGTGTTAGAATCGGAACTGTATAGATCTACGCGCCAAAGGGCTCTCAATTGGGTTTCAGTCTTGATATTGGTTTTTCCTGATAGGTTCCCTGTATCTTAATATACAAATGCAGAGACTATATTCGCAAGTTATCATATATACCATATCTTTAGTATTTTCGACATCTATGGTCTGGATTACTCGACTTTTCCGCTAGATAATGAAGGAAATTTCATGTCTTAGAAAGAAACAGGGGTAATGGGCTAATGAGGTTGCGTAAGGTGCAGATTCATTGGCGGCTCGAAGTGACCAATCCTTAGCGCTTACCGTAGCTGATCACATCACTTAACGCCCGAAAGCATCATTCTCACCAACATTTTCGTCACGT